GAGGAGGAGGATGAGGTGAGGATGGGGATGAGGAACAGGATGAGGTGAGGATGAGGAGAAGGAGGAGGAGGAGGAGGAGGGATGGGGCAGGGCTCAGGGCTCTGAAGGCCGTGGTGTGTGTGCTCTCTCGGCAGGACATTCCCACTGGAGCTGACAGCTGTGTCACCAGCCTGTCCTGTGACTCCCACCGCTCGCTGATCGTGGCGGGGCTGGGGGACGGCTCCATCCGCGTGTTCGACAGGAGGATGGCGCTCAGTGAATGGTAACTGGGAACTGCCGGGGCTCGGGGGCCACACGGGTCCTGCTGTCCTCACACGTGTCCCTTGTCCCCAGCCGAGTCATGACCTACCGCGAGCACACGGCCTGGGTGGTGAAGGCCTACCTGCAGAAGCACCCCGAGGGCAACATCATGAGCGTCAGGTACACGGGGTCCTGGAGCCGCCTGCCCTTCCCCACAGCCTTAAAACCCTTTAAACACCCCTCTAACACCATCCCTGCTGTTCTCTGGAGTTTGAGATCTCCTTCAGTAATTACCTCCTGCTCCAAACTCGGTGGAGAGGAGGCAAGGAGGGACGTGGAGCTTTCCTTGGAAGGCTCTTGGTGTGGTTTGGGAGCAAACAGGCTGCTGGAATCACAAGGTGTGTGAGGAGGAAGGGAGGGAGGGGAGCAGGAGCTGGGTGCTGAACATCTTGTGCTGGGGGGGCTTTACTGCCAGCATCTCCATGGGGTCATCTGGGAGAGAACAGGAGGATGGTGGATGGTGCATCTGGCACGTTCCTGGGCAGGATTCCTGTGCAATTCCCTAAATCCATTCCTGCTGCCTGGTAAATGCTGCAGCCAGAGCAGCAGGTACTGATTTGGCCATTAAGGAACGGCAGAACAGAATTTATTGTCACGAAGCCACCGTTTGCACACAAAGAGCCTCTTTTTCTTGATTAGAAAATGGAAACAAAACATAATTTTCTGGGATTCAGAACATTCCTGAGGCGGGGGATGGGCCAGCAAAAATGTATTAAGATTTTCAGACAGGGGATTATGTGATGTAGCTGCCAGATTTGTCGAGCTCCCATATTGGAGTTTTAATCTTCCTCTCCATAAGCTCCTCCAGCAGCTCCAGGGGTCAGGTCCCCGTGCCCAGAGCTGAGGGCTGGCAGCCCCCTCTCCTCAGAGCCCTTCCAGCCTGGGAGCTGCTCCTGGGGCTCTGGGGAATGTTGGTCTGGCTCTTCCCAGAGGAGCTCAGGTTGTGGAGCTGAGCCACCTCCTTCCATCCCTCCCCGTTCCCTCTGCTTCAGCTGACAGCAAAACCCAAGGAGAACAAATGGGAGGACACAGTGAGGTCCTGGTGTCCAGACACCTGGAGAAGAGGATGGCACCAGCACATCCCCTCTGCTCCCCTCTCCCACTGTGCAGAGCAGCAGGAATTCAGGGCTGGGTGAAGTGGGAGTGCCAGAACAGGGAGGGAACACTCAGAGATGGGCTGGGAGCGAGAGAGGCAGTGAGGGATCAGCAGGGTGGGATCAGGAATTTGGGATCAGGAATTTGGGATGAGCAGTTTGGGATGAGCAGTGAGGGATCAGCAGTGAGGGATCAGCAGTGAGGGATCAGCAGGGTGGGATCAGGAATTTGGGATGAGCAGTGAGGGATCAGCAGTGAGGGATCAGCAGTGAGGGATCAGCAGGGTGGGATCAGGAATTTGAGATCAGGAATTTGGGATGAGCAGTTTGAGATCAGGAATTTGGGATGAGCAGTGAGGGATCAGCAGTGAGGGATCGCTCCCGAGCTGTTCCTCCAGCACAGAACGTGTGTGGGATCACATCCCAGCAGCAGAGGGAACTCGGCCGTGTGTGTTCCCTGTCCCGATGCCCCAGGGAGGTGCTGGGCTCAGGGGCAGCCCCACAGCTGTGCCTACAGCTGTGTTTCCTGGCTCTGGGGAGGGCTGGGCACAGCCTGAGCCCGTGGCTCTGTGTTGGCAGCGTCAATGGTGACGTGAGGTTCTTCGACCCCCGCATGCCCGAGTCCATGAAGGTGCTGCAGATCGTCAAGGGGCTCACGGCCCTCGACATCCACCCCCAGGCCAACCTCTTTGCATGGTAAGTGCTGCTGCCATCCCTGGAGTGCCAGGACACAGGGAATGGGGAGAAATTCTTCCCTGGGAGGGTTCTTCCCTGGCTCTGGATCCCTGTTCAGTGTCTGTATTTCTGGGCTCTGAGTGGGGACCAGCAGCTGCTCCACTGCCACACAGCCTGGAGCTTGTTTGGGGTGCACTGGGTGTGTTTGGGCAGGAGCTGTCTGTGTTTGGGGTGCACTGGGTGTGTTTGGGGTGCACTGGGTGTGTTTGGGCAGGAGCTGTCTGTGTTTGGGGTGCACTGGGTGTGTTTGGGATGCACTGGGTGTGTTTGGGGTGCACTGGGTGTGTTTGGGCAGGAGCTGTCCGTGTTTTCCTGTCCTGGGTGACCACAGGCCACTGTGGTTCCTACCACCAGTCCCTGCTGTCCCACTTTGGGACGTGGCTGCTCTCTGGCCTGGCTCCCAGCTCAGCCAGGGGCTGCAGCAGCAATCCTGTCCCCTCCCAGCATTCCCAGTGATCCCCTGTTCCATCCCTTCCCTTCCAGTGGCTCCATGAACCAGTTCACCGCCATCTACAACGGCAACGGGGAGCTGATCAACAACATCAAATACTACGATGGCTTCATGGGACAAAGAGTGGGAGCCATCAGCTGCCTGGCCTTCCACCCTCACTGGGTCTGTATCCCTGCTGCCATCTGGGGCTGGCACGTCCCAGTGTCCCTGTGGCAGGAGGGGGTGGCACAGAGACCCCCCCAGAGAGGAGGGGAGCTGTCCCAGCCCGGTGCTCTGAGCCCAGCTCCACACAAACCCCGGTGCTGCCCCTGCTGCTGCTGCTCCCTGGCACCTGCAGCTCCCCAGGGCTGCAGCTCCTGTCCCTTCCAGCTGTGGGGCACTTCCCATCCCGGCTCAGCTCCCAGCCCTTGGCCACAGGAGCTGTCCCAGGTGACAGGAGCAGGGCAGGCTCACATTCCCAAATTCCATCTGTTTATTCCCTCCCTGCCTGGGCTCTGCAGCTGTGCCTCGCTGGGCTGCTCTCACACAGGGCTGGTGCTGTGCAAAAACTGCTCAGGAAAACGGGAGAGCTGCAAAAATTAAAGGCACGAGCTGCTGAAGGCTGGGATGAGGCAGAGCAAAAGGAGATTTTGGGGTCTGTCACAGCTGAGGGGCTCTGCAGTAGTCACAGAGAGAATCTGCTTGCTGCTCAGGGAGGAGCTGGAAAACCTGGGAAAACAATGAATGGATGGGAAAACAGGAAGGAATTACAAGAGTTATTTTAGAAAGCTGCAGATCAGCTCACAAATATTTAAAATGTGATGGGAAGAGCAGTTTGCTCTTTAAACAAGCAAAGCAAAGCTCTGTCCAGCCTGGCCAGGTCCCCTCACTGCAGGAAATGCTCATTTTCAGCCCAGGCATCGGCTCCTAACGAGCAGATTTGCAGTCATTTAGAGAAATTATGTCAGCAGTTGGTAACTAATGGTTCCCATAACTTTCCCCTGTGGCTGAAATGGGCCCTGTAACTCCTGCAGAGCTGTGGAGCAGCTGGGTGTCCCTGCTGAATGTCACTGTCACCTGTGCCTGTCACTGCTCCTCACCTGGACCTTGGAGTGGGTCACAGGAGCAGCGGCTCAGGGATTTGGGAAAGGGGCTGGAACACCAGGACAGGCTCAGGGATTTGGGAAAGGGGCTGGAACATCAGGGATCAGGGATTTGGGAAGGGGCTCAGCTGGGAGAAAAGGAGGCTCAGGGGGAACTTCTGGCTCTGCACAACTCCCTGCCAGGAGTGGGGAGTCAGGATCTGCTCAGGGAACAGGGACAGGAGGAGAGGGAACAGCCCCAGGCTGGGCCAGGGGAGCTCAGGGTGGACAGCAGCAGGAATTTCCCCATGGAAAGGGCGCTCAGGCACTGGAACTGCCCAGGGAGGGTTGGATCCCCATCCCTGGAGGTGTCCAAGGAGCACCTGGGCTGACAGGGTGGGGATGGGTCCCAGGGCTGGTCTCAGAGGGCTGCTCCAGCCTGGGTGGCCGTGTGACACTGCCTGTTTGTCGCTGTGCTCTCCCGCAGCCCCACCTGGCCGTCGGCAGCAATGACTTCTACATCTCGGTCTACTCGGTGGAGAAGAGGATCAGATGACGGCGCCCGGCGCGGCCGGAGCGGCTCCGGGGCCTCCCTGTACATAGAGAAATCATCGACTTGAATGTTTCGTGTTGGCTGCTGCTGCACCCCATAACTTGAACATTTGTTCTTCTGACTTAGCTACTGATGGGTTTGACAAGGGGAAGAGACAATCTCCTGGTTTGGTTTGGTTTTGTTTTCCAGCTATATCCTCCAAAAGCTACAGAAAAGGAACATTTCTTTTTGTTTCCAGTGGTTGGCTTCTCTGTCAGGAACACGGCTCCTGAGCTCGGAAGGACTTGGATGAGGCAACGCCCTTGAGAAGGGTCTTGTTTTAGTCTTTGTTCCGTGTTTTACTGGAGTGTGGGTTCTTCAAGGACTGTCAGGACTCACCTACAGCTCCACGGGACCCTCCAGCTGCTGTGCCAAACGCAGTTCTGGGACAGGGCAGCGCAGGATGTACCTGCCAGGGAGGCAGGGCAGCACATCCTCTGCATGAACCTCCTCCTCCTCTTCCTCCTCCTCCTCCTCCTCCTCCCTGCAGCAAGGACAGCCGGGGATCCTGCAGGAAGGGGCTCAGGGAGATGGCAAGAGCAGGACAGTAAAGCTGCGTGTGAGGAAGATGAGGGAAGGAAGGGAATGAAGATCTCCATCCTCCCAACAAGCCTGGAGCGAGTCACCGGTGCCACCACGTTCCACCCGAGCCCACGGTGCCGGTGGCGAGCCGGGGGCTCCTGAGCCGCTGTCCCTGTGCCACGGGGAGCTCCACAGGCACAGCTCTGTGTCCTGGGCTCTGTGTGCTCCCCACGGCTGCTCTGCACACAGCCGAGGGCAGGATTTGGCCCCTTGGGGCTGCACACCACGGCTGCCCCTTTGGAAATGAGCGTGGAAGCACCTGGGCACCGAGAATCACCGAGGAGGAGGAGGAGGAGGAGGGAGGCAGTCACTGCTCGGTGCCCTCACCCCAGCTGTCCAGGCAAGGCCTGCTCCGTCTTCCACACCTTCCACGTCCAAATAACGAATGTTTTGTCCCTTGGGATCCGTGCTGGGGCTGGGGCTGGGGCTGGGAAGGGAGAGCACAGCCAAAGGTTTCCTTGCAGAGGTGCAGAACTCGCTGCGGGGCCAGGAATTCCCAGTGCTTCCCAGTCCCAGGGGATCTGCAGGCTCCCAGCAAGCAGATCCTGGAGGGAATGGGGTGAGGGAAGGGCTCAGCACCCCTCTGTCCCTGTGCTGACACCTCTGTCCCATGCCCAGTGCTGCTGCTGGCCCTGGCACCGTGCCCGTGTGTCCTGGGGCACCGGGACCACACCAGGGACGGGTCCTGTGGCCACCCCGAGGTGCCACAGGCAGGTGGGGGCTCTGGCCGGGGAGAGGTCCCCAAGCCACGGCGGTGGAGCCGAGGTCGGGTGTCCCCGAGCACCGTCCCTGTCAGGGAGGCCGAGGGCCACATCCCAGGATAATGAATCAAAGGCTTTAAACCTAAAAACTACCTGAAAATCCACTTTTAAATTACCCAAAGTTAATTATGGTCTTAACAGAGCTGTGCCTCTTCCCGACCTGCTCCCGGGCTGTCCGTGGGGCTGGAGCCACAGTTTGGGATCTCACGTAACCCGTTAACATTCACAGCTTCAAAAACAATGGATTTTTAACTCCTATCAGTGTATTTGTGAAAGGAACAGGACATTCCTGGCCTGGTGGGAGCCGCTGCTCCTGCCCGGCTCCGCTGCAGCCGGATTTAAGGAATTTTAAGGAATTGGGGCTGTTGGGTTTTTACCTGAGTGTGTGTGGGCTGTGCTTCCACAGGTCTGATGCACAGATGTAATCATGGGATCACAGAGTTTAACCAAGGATCTGAAGAGCGTCCTATCTTAAAAGTTCACTTATCTCTATTTATTTTACAAAAATAAAGTTTAAAAAAATATATATAAAAACCCCCACACGATTGTAATGTGAGAGTAAAGCGATTACAGACAAATAAATGGTTAATAAAAAATAAATGCAGAAACACTTCCTGCTGTGAGGATCCTTCTGTGGCCCAGGAAGGAGCCGGCTGGGGTTTGTGTCTGGGGGAGGTGTTGGTGGCAGATGCGTGTCCCAGCCCCGGAATGCCGCGATCCCAGGGTGCGGATCCAGCTCTGGAGCGCGGCTGCAGCCCGGCTCGCTGCGAGGGATGAGCTGCCAGGGATAAACCGATCCTGGCAGTGCCGGGGGGATGTTGGACACGACGGGGTCAGGGGGCTTTTCCACCCTGAACAATTCCATGACTCTCCTGGAGCCCCCATCCCCTACAGCCTCCCTCCCGCACCTCCCATTCCCTGTATCCCACTCTCTGTATTATCCCCATTCCCTCTATTTTCCCCATTTCCTATATTATTATCCCCATTCCTGGTTATTCCCATTCCCAATATTATTATCCTCATTCCCAGTACTATTATCCACATTCCCGATATTATTATCCCATTCCCTATTTCACTCCCATTCCCAATATTCTTATCCCCATTCCCAATATTATTATTCCCATTCCAATACTATCACCCCCATTCCCCATTATCATTCCCATTCCCGATATTATCACCCCCATTCCCGATATTTTTAATTCAATTCCCGATATTTTTAATTCAATTCCCGATATTTCCATTCCCATTCCCGATATTTTTAATTCCATTGCCGATATTTTTAAATCCATTCCCGATATTTCCATTCCCATTCCCGATATTTTTAATTCCATTCCCGATATTTTTAAATCCATTCCCGATATTTTTAAATCCATTCCCGATATTTTCATTTCCATTCCCGATATTCCCGTCCCGATGGCGCCCCCTAGCGGCGCGCTGCCGCCGTTGCCGCGTTCGCTGCGCGTTGTGCGGGGCCGGGCCCCTCGCGGCCGCCGTCGGGGCCGGGCCGGGCCGGGCCGGGCAGGAGCGGCCACGGGGAACCTGTTCGGGCGGAAACGGCGGAGCCGCGTCACGGAGCAGGACCGGGCCGTGCTGGTGAGCGGGGGGGCACCGGGCCGGACCGGGCCGTGCTGGTGAGCGGGGGGGCACCGGGCCGGACCGGGCCGTGCCGGTGAGCCGGGAGGATGGACCGGACCGGGCCGTGCCGGTGAGCTGGGGATGGACCGGACCGGGCCGTGCCGGTGAGCTGGGGATGGACCGGACCGGGCCGTGCCGGTGAGCCGGGAGGATGGACCGGACGGGCCCGGCCCGGCTCCGAGCTGCCCGTGGGAGTCGCCGGGTCCCCGCGGCGATGGAGGAACCGGGCTGGGGCTGCGCGACCCCCGGTGCTGGCGGTGCCGGAGCGGGCGGGGCAGCGGCGCTGCCTGAGGGGCGCTGGAAGTGTCAGGGCTGGGTCGTGACCCTTGTCCTTCCCTCTGTCCCTCTGTCCGTCTGTCCGTCCGTCCCGCGTTCCCCCGTGTCTCTGTCCCGCAGCAACTGAAGCAGCAGCGGGACAAGCTCCGGCAGTACCAGAAGCGGCTGAGCCTGGGGCTGGAGCGGGAGCGGGCGCTGGCCCGGCAGCTGCTCCGGGACGGCAAGAAAGAGTGAGGGGCAGGGGACACCGGGGCCGGCAGTGCCACCTCCAGCGTGTCACCGGCGAGGAAACACCGCTGGAGCGTGGCAGTCAGAGTCCCGGAATGGGTTGGGTTGGGGGGACCTCAAAGCTCATCCCATTCCACACCCTTGCCGTGGGCAGGGACACTTCCACTGTCCCAGGTGCTCCCAGTCCCATCCAGCCTGGCCTTGGACACTTCCAGGGATCCAGGGGCAGCCACAGCTGCTCTGGGCACCCTGTGCCAGGGCCTGTCCTCCCTCACAGGGCAGGATTTATTCCCAGTATCCAATTTGCTCATCCCCTGTCCTCGCAGGAGCGGGTCGGGGTTGCCAGTCCAGCTGCACACAAGTTGTCCCCTTTTAGCAGAAGCACAGAACAAGGGTGGCTTTGATGGGGCTCCTTTGGGCTTCAGTTGCTTCATCCCTGCTGCGTTGCCCTCCCTCTGTGTCCCTCAGGAAAGCCATGCTCCTGCTGAAAAAGAAACGGTACCAGGAGCAGCTTCTGGATAAAACAGAGAACCAGATCAGCAACCTGGAGCGGATGGTGAGCGACGCCTTGGGGTGTCCGGGGTGGGGCTCCCCTTGGATCCATTCCAACTGGCAGGTCCTGGCAGGTGTTCAGCCCTCTGTCCAAGGGCAAATGTCTCCAAAATTGTACCTGTGCCACGATTTTCCCTAGAGAGACAGAGTGGTGTGTTTGGAATCTGCAGGTTCCCTGTTAAATGTGTGGTTTGGAAATTGCTGAGATGTTACTCACGGGGGGGTGGCTGCACTGGGGCCTTCCTGGGCTTGTCTCAGCCCTGTCATTTCAGAACTGGATGTGTTTGGGTTTGGGGAGGTCTGGGCTGGGACTGGCACCTGGATAATCCGGTGAAATCACTTCACGGGCTGTTGGACCTGCTGCTGCAGCCGCCTGTGCTGAGCTTTTTGTGTGGATGTTTCCTGCTGCTGGTGCCACTGACAGGAGAGAAAGGGCTCCACTGACTCCTCCCTGCAGCTTCTCTGCTGGTCCTGGCAGCCTGTGTCTGCCTAATAATAGCAATCGTGGAATTGTTTAGGTGGGAAGAGCCCTCTGTGCCCAGTCTCTTCCCAGCACTGCCAGGGCCACCACTGTCCCCAGCTGCCACACCCCATATCTGTTAAATCCCTTCAGGATTCACTGGACAGCCTGTGCCAATGCCTGGCCAAAGTGTGACAGGCTCTTCTCCTTCCCGCTCCAGGTCCAGGACATTGAATTCACCCAGATTGAAATGAAGGTCATCGAGGGCCTGAAAATAGGCAATGAGTGTCTGAACAAAATGCACCAGGTACTTGTGGCTGGGGCACTTCAGAGGGGCCTGGCTGGAGCTGCCTCCCTGCAGGCCCCTCCCACACCTGGATTTTGGCTCTGCCCTTCAGGTTATGTCCATAGAAGAAGTGGAAAGGATAATAGGAGAAACGCAGGATGCTGTGGATTATCAGAGGGTGCGTGCGTGAGGAGCTGGGAGCAGCCTCTGCACAGAGCTGCTGGGATGGGCCTTGTATCCAAGAGCCACCAGGCTGGGAATGTCATGTCCTTCCCTCTCTCCCACAGCAAATAGACGAGCTCCTGGCTGGCAGCCTGACTGAGGAGGATGAAGATGCCATTCTAGAAGAATTAAATGCTATTACTCAGGTGGGGTTGATGGTTTTGGGATTAAAATCCACATTTTTAGGAAGCTGTTTTTAATAGCAGTTTTTTAAGGACCTTTTTCCTACTCTCAGAGCTCTTTCTGGGGGGAAATCTGGGACACTGCCAGCCCCAGTGTTTGCCCAGTTGTGGTCTGTGACACATGTGACACGCTGTCCTTAATGTCCTTGCAGGAACAGTTGGAGCTTCCAGAGGTTCCTTCGGAGCCGCTCCCGGAGAAGATCCCAGGTATGTTCTCCTTGCACAGCTTTGGCTCCCCGTGCTCCTGTCCCGTGCCATGGCCTGAGAGCCTCTCCCAGTGTCTTGGGAAACGGGAGGGAGCAGCAGCTCCTGCAGTGGGGACAGGCCCGGCTGAGCCCCTGCCCCAGGAACACCCAAGTTCCACCGACATCTGGTCATTCCCATGGGGAGCAGATGTGACATCTGCTGTCCTTGTCACATCCTGTACCTGCTCTGAGGCAACCCCGTGCCCTGAGACACCTCATTCCTCCGGGAGGCTCCGTGGGGAATTCCTCCCTTCCCTGAGCCAGGCAAGGCTTCCTCCCGCAGCCCCGGCCGCTGTCACGGCACAGGGACGGGTATTTTCTGGATGTTGGATTCACCCTGCACAACACTGGATTTCCCTGAGCCTTGGGGTCACTTGGAGCCCTTCCCACCTCACTTGCCAGTGATTTGGAAGCAGCTGGATGAGGATCACTGGAGTCCCACAGTGCCAGGATTGTCACGAGCTCCACGCAGCTGATGGTCCCCGAGTGCTCCTGAGCCATCCAAAGGCTCGGTGGATGGATTTGTGTGGGAATCAAGCTGGGGAGTGGGAGAGCTCACTAAGAGGGTGACCTTCCCTGGCAGGGAAGGAGCCCACTGGGATTCATCAGGTGTCTGTGCTGAGGAGCTGAGAACTCAGGCTGGTGAAGACTCTTCTGGGGCAGCAGAGCCCGGAGCTGTCACTCACAGGAGCTGGATCTCCCTGTTTGTGCAGAGTGGAGCTGGAAGAAGCCATTTCCCTGTGTGGAATCTGCCCAGGAGCAATCTGGGATGTGGGGAATGGGGCTGGTTTCCTTGGAGCTTGTTTACTCCTAAACAGGGCTCAGGTGTCAGCACTGAGGCCAAACAAAACACGGCCCAGGGCTGTGGGGTCCAGGGGGTGAGGGCAGAGCTGGCCCTGCTCCTGCCCAGGGTCTGTCCCTGGGCTGGGCATGTTCTCAAAGTCTGTAATTCTTCAGTGCTGTGTAAAAGGGGCATTTCCACCTGGGAATGTGGCATTATTTATAACCAATTTCTCTCAGTTCAGGTGCTGTGCAAGCATTTGCTGTCCTGCAGAGCGGACTCTGAGCCCTGGATCCTCTTTGGGAGATGGCTGCAGGATATTTGCATTCCCTGATTCTGTAATAACTTTCTTTTCCTTCCACAGAAGTGTCACCCATCAAGAACAGGCCAAAGCCAGAGCTGGTGGCAGCATCTTAACTCCCAGTGCTGGGGATTCCCCCACGAAACTTTCACCCTGGACAGTTTGCCCTCCCAGCATGTGCTGGGAACAGGCAATGCCTTGGCAGCATCCCAGCTGTGCTGGGTGGATTGTGGAGCAGGATTCCCTGCGCAGGGTGGGGAACCTCAGCTGATTATCGCTCTTGTATCAAGATTATTTTCTAGTGCTTTCATTTTTTGTAACTTAAATTCCAAACTCACTCAGCTGCGCTGTCTCCAGGATTAAACAGCAACTTTAATCATCCAAAGCCAAGTTTTCCTCTGTAGGTCTGAGTCTGCCTTTGCTCTGGCCACATCCCAGGAGAGCCCAGGCTCAGAGTGACGGTGTTTGTGGCGTGGGCTGGGTGAGCACAAGAGCCACACCCCTGGTGTCCCTGTGTCCCTGTGTCCCTTCTCTCTCCTGGCTCTGTCTGTGCAGGGGTGCTGTGTCCCCGTCCTGCTGCACGTTGGGCGGTGCTGGAGCGCTGACTCGGCCCTGCCTGCTACAGAACCAGCCCCAGGGCTTTGATTTGGGCCAGGCTCAGCCTGGTGCTGCTCCTGCTGCAGCGGCTCTGGCCGGGCAGAGCCTGATGTGCTGCGAGCTGAGGAGCCCTGGCCTGCCAGAAACCCCTGCAGTGCCAGCGAGGAGCTCCTGCCCGTGTTCCAGCCAGGATTCCTCCCTCGTGGGCTCTGCTGCAGCGTCAGAGTTCAGCTGTGGCCGGGATGGAGCAATGGATCACACGGACTCTGCTCCAGCTGCTCCTGCCCAGCGTTTCCTCGGGGACTCGGACGCGTTTCCTCGGGCTCGTGCTGCACCGGACACGGGGCTGGAGCTCCAGGAATCACCGCTCCAAAGTGCTCTGGGAGCAGCTGGAGGAGCCCCATCCCCTCTGAGGACTCAGCTGAAGGGGCTGGAGCTCTGCCTGGGCAGTCAGTGGTGACAGATTTGGCTGCTCTTGGAACGGGCTCACCTGCCAGCTTGCAGATGCTCTTCAGGACACTGCAGATCTTTATTCATTATGTACTTGAAGCCAGGACCCCTAATCTGCAATTCTGTGGCAGCAGAAGGATCAGAGGGTCCTTGGAGAGTTTGTGGGGCTGTCGTTGGGGCTGTGGGATCTGGTGCTAGACAAAAAGTGATCCCAGGGACTGGAATGCTCCCCATGGTGCTGGGCCAGCAGCAGCTCTGGGTGGACTCACACTCTCCTTGTCCTCTCTGTTGTGTTCCAAAGACTGGCCAGGACATCCTCGTCCTGCTCGTGTGTCCCCAAGGCAGTGAAGTGCCTTGGAGCCGCCCCATTTCCACTCCCACTGCTGTCTCTGAGCAGCTCCCTACCAATCCCACAGCCCCCGGCCCTGTTTGACACCAGGGCAGTGCTGGCAGAGCAGCTGCAGCCTCTGGAGCTGCCCGGGGCATTGGATGATCCCAGGCCAGGGTCTCTGGTCACCCCAGCTGGGACAGGCAGCTCCTGCTCCCAGCCCTGCCAGGGACAGGGTCCTGCTCTGCTCCCGGTGCTTTATTCCGTGCTCGGTCCCGGCTGTGCTGCAACGCAGCCCGTTCCCACCAGAGAGAGCCTTGGATTCAGCAGTGCCGCGCTGGCAGGAGCATTTCTGGGCAGCGCTTTTCCTGCAGGCTCCTCCAGCCCTGGCAGAGCTGCTGCCCTGCTCAGCGTGTCCCGGTGCACGGAGGGAGCGCTCCCAGGGGGATCTGGCAGGGATCTGTCCTGGGAGCGCGGCTTCCACCGCCGGGGCTTTGGGAAAACCCTGTTCCCCGGCATCGGCCCCGCCACGGGAGAGGGATGGGGAGGGTGTGCTGCAGTCCCTCTGCTCCGCTTTTCTTCCTGATGAACGTCCTGGCAGCAGGAGAGGCTGGGCCGGGTCCTGGTGGGTGTGGAGAGGGAACGGGGCTGGTGCTGAAGGGGTTAATGCGGCTCCTTCCATTCGATGCCAGAGTGGAGAGCCCATTTACTGATCCAACAGGGAAATTCGGAGCAGATTGGCCGCGGCTTCCTCTGCTAATCCCTGCCCCAACAGCTTGTGCTGGGTCTCCTTGGGAGGAAGGGCCGGGGCTGGGCTGTGACAATAAATTGGCTCCAGTGGTTCCACCGACTCCTCTTCAGCCTCGTGTTTGCACAGGGAGGGTTCGGGTGAGCAGCAGTTCCTCCTCCCTGCCCTGCTCGCTCCCGGGAGAGATGTGGGCAGGGAATTTCAGAGCGGTCCCTGTGTGTGACACAAACAGTCCTGGCACGGCCCTGAACCAGGTGTGGCTGAGACTTCCCAGGGCTCTGCCACTGCCCTCCCTGCTTGGCTTTACAGCAAGGCCACGTTAGGGGATTGTAGGAATTACCCTGGAATTGTCAAACTGATCCACGGCCAGTCCGTGCCCGGGCTCGGGGCTCACATGGGCGTGTGGTTCCCTCCTGAGGAAACTGTCCCGTCCCATTTTGCCTCCGTCTGTGGCACTTTGTGCTTCCATCCCCGCGGGGCTGTCCAGCACCCGGCCCTGTGTGTGACTGTCCCGTTCGGAACGGGCCCGGGGGCTGGGGACAGGCGGGCTGAGGCTGCCCTGGGATGTTCCCGAGCCTCTGGCAGCGCTTGGGCAGCAGCTGCTCCCTTCTTACTCGGGGTTTACGTCTCTCCTGCGGCTGGGAGCAGCGGGATGCCCTCGGATCCCCCTGCCCGCTCCAGCCGGAGCCTCTGCGGCGGCTCAGCCCCCCCGGCCCGTCCTGCCGGGCCCTGGGAAAGCGGCTGTGCCGAGCTGGGAGAGTTTAATCAGCGCTCCCAGTGCCCCTCGGCTGCGGCAGCGGGGTGGGAGCCAGCTCCTGCCGGGAGGGCTGCGCGCAGAGCTCTTCCAGCTGTGTTTGACTTGGCCAGATGTTGGGTGAGAGGAGCGCGGAGGCAGCGCTGCTCGTTGTTAATTAAACCCAGGAGAACGGGAACAAACCTCACGCTCCTGCCTCGGCTGCCCCCGCAGCGCCCGGAGCTCCCCCCGGAGCCCCCGGGCCGGCCCCGGCCCCTCTCCTGCGGCTCTGGGGACAATGGCAAAGCTGCCGTGCAGGCACAGCACGTGTGACAGTGACAGGGAATTCAGCATTCCCAGAGCACTCGCTCCTCCTGGGTCTCTGAGCTATTCCCAGCAGTTTGTGCGGCACTGGGGGAAACGAGGAGCTCTGCTGGGAGAGATCGCTGCCCATTCCCTACTCCCCTCTGCAGGGCCAGCCCCTGTTCCGTGGGGACACTGCCCATCCCATGGGGACACTGCCCATCCCATGGGGACACTGCCCATCCCATGGGGACACTGCCCATCCCATGGGGACACCGGCGGGGAGCCGGAATTCCAGCCGGCGTTATGCAAGCAGCGGTACCTTTGGACAGGCTCTCATTCCCTGCTCTCATTCCCCGCTCTCATTCCCCGCTCTCATTCCCGGCTGTCCAGGAGGCAGCTGAGCACCAGCACCGCTCCCTGGGGCTGTGCTGGGCCCTCCCCAGCCGCCCCCGCCCCTCCGTGTGCCCGCAGCCGACACGGAGCTGCTTTGGGGCAAAAGCCGGGAGCTGCTCCCCTCCTCAGCAGCCTCTTCCCTGGGCTTTGAGGGAATTGTGTAATTCCCAGAGCCCCGGCGGTTTCTATGCCAACACAGCTGGATGGCAGCGCTGCCGGGGAGGGAGGGGGGCTGCCGGCCCACCCCCAGAACAGCTGCACAGCCCCAAAACAGCTGCACATCCCAACCCAGCTGCACCCCCTGACACGCCGTCATGCTCTGCTGCCTCCGATGTTCCCTGGGGCACCCATGGAAGAACAAAACAGAACCGAGAACCTCGGAGGTGTCGGATCCTCTCATCCGGGTCCTTTTTGGCACCTGGGGGCTCTCCCTGTCCCCCCTCAGCAGCTCCCACTCCAGGGGAATGAACTCACGGTGTCCCTTGTCCCCCTCCCTCCCTGGCAAACCCTGACCAGGGTTTGGTGAGGATCTTTCATCTTCCTCCTCCCCCTCATCATCCACACCCTGAGCTTGCCCTGCCGTGTGGGGGCCTGGGTGCTTCCCACACTCGGGGGCACCACTGGGGGTGCTGAATTCTGCACCCAAACCTCGCAGTGCCACCCCCCGTCCCAGCTGCCCACTCGGACACACCGGGAGCCAACCACTGCCTCCTTCCCTTTCCCTCTTCCACATTTTCAGTGCCCTGGTGTCACGCTGAGTCACCAGCAGAGCAATAGAAGAGGCTTTGGCAGGGAACAAGCCCAAGTTTTGATAGTTCAACTGTGGGAAAAAAAAAAAATCAACGCAATTTCCTAATTAGAGCAGCGCTGGGAACAAAGCGGGTCTGTCCGAGCACGGCCGGGAATGTGACCTTTGCTGGCTCGTGGTGCCAGACGGTGAGCGGTGCTGCTTGGCAGGGCTGAAATGCCTCAGCAGAGCCTGCTCTGACGTAGGAGCCACAATTCCTCCTCCTGGGGGACGCGAGGCCCGTGGTGGATGGGTGGAAGGAGCACTGGGAGGTGGCAGTTGTCCCCGTGTCACCACTTGTGCTGCCCCAAACAGCCCTGGCTGCTCTGCCCTGCTCTGGAATGCGGCTCCTCAAGTCGTGGGTGAAGTTGTGGCCACGCCGGGTGTCCCCGAGGGCCAGCGCTGCCACGTGATGGGTGTCCCCAACCTGTGTCCCCAGCCCGTATCCCCAGCCCGGTGTCCCCAACCTGTGTCCCCAGCCCGTGTCCCCAGCCCGTGTCCCCTGCCCGTGTCCCCAGCCCGGGGCCGGGCACAGCAGAGGGTGCCAGGCTGCTCCGGGGCTGGGGCTCCCAGCGCTCCGTGATTATTTAGTTATTTAATTATTAATTAGCGGGAGAGGAAGGAGTGGAGAGCGGTCCCGTCCTGTGCTGAGGGCCGGGAGGAGCCACGTCCCTGCGGAAAGGCCGGAGATCCCTGGAAAGCAGGAGCTGGGTGGCCCTGGGGCTGGATCAGGAGCGGGGGGAATTCGGCACCGCGTTCCATGAATCCAAGCTGGGCCGGGCAGCCACAGCCACCAGAAGTGGCCATGGGACAGGGAACGTGGGACAGAATGGGGGACACGGGCAGGGGGTGGCAGCGGGACCTGATCCTGTCCCTTCCGCCAGCTCGCTGTGACCGGCTGGTCCTTCCCAGGCAGGGCTGGGCAGGGGGGAGGCAGCGCCCGGAGGTGCCCAGAGCCCCCGGAGGTGCCCAGAGCTCCCGGAGGTGCCCAGAGCCCCCGGAGGTGCCCAGAGCTCCCGGAGGTGCCCAGAGCTCCCGGAGGTGCCCA